TGCTTCTGTAAACCTGCTTGCTTACCGCTTGTGCCCTTAAAAACCCTGCACAGATTCCCCTCGGGGCCCTCCGCACTCGTTTGCCTGGAGGACCCCATGCGCATGGAAATAAACTTTTTTCCCTCACCAAGAGTTGAGTCCTTGGGGTCTCTTTCCCTGCGGCGTCGGCCCTAACAACATTGAGATATTTATCAATAAATGGACGCAGCTTGAGACCATACTCGTAAGTGAAATAAATCAATCTCGCATGTATGAATACCGAATAGTTTCCCTAATGTAAGTAATGATTCAAATATATAAAAATATGTGGTAATCATGATTCCCCATTCTGTGGCCTTGAAGCCTTGTAAAGTTTTCACTCATTAATTAGAAAGGCTTTATTCTGGGCTTCTTGATATGGAAATATTTGAAGCTATAGTATATGAAGTTTTATCCAAATATTTCAAGGAAAAAGACACTATGGTAACTACTCTTAAGTCGGGTTATATGGTGGTGAAGTACTAGGTTGCTGAAACTGTCATGCTTTGACCTCTATTGTTATATTGTTATGTCCTGTTTTATCTCAATCTCCCCCTTATTCTTTAAAAAAAAATTATTCAGTTATTTCTTATGTTTGTCTTACTTAAGGGGAAAAATTTAAAAAATTAGGATATATAATAGTAACTCTTTTAGATTTCCTATTAACTTGTTTTGAAGTCCTGTAATACTCCCACGATCTTGTTTTGACTGATTAGACTCTGTTCCATTCTGTATGATAGTATCAAGTTTGAGGGTATAGGCAACTACTTTGAAGGCAATAAGATTCACTAAGATGCCCATTCTGGTTTGACTATTGTCTCCTTTGGAAGTCCTGTAATGTTTACAATGCCTAAGAATGGTCATTTGTTTTCACAGCATCCTCAGTTCCAACATGATGTGGATTTCAGGAGACACTGCTAGTTCTCCCCCTGGAGGGGCTGCAGTGGGCCACACTACCGCCGCTTACCAGGGAGGGAAGGTGCTGGCTTGAGGCTGATTTTCATGTATGATCTCTTTAAAGTGTTTCATTAATTTACCAGCCCACTGTGTATTGAGTGTATTAAAAAGTTTATAGCACTCTCTGAAAAGTAGGGTGACTAACTCATATATTTCTGACGTGATTCAATTGCAGTTTTCATAAAAGTTACTCTTAATAAAACACTAATAGATGAAGCCCCAGATATAAAGTTACAGATTTTAAACCAGTTCAAGAGTAAGATGGTAAGATAACCCAGGCACACACTTCAATTGTGATCCTTTATTCCATTGTAACTGTTACTATTGATATCCCCTTTTAAAAGTCATCATCTGGAGTCATTAACCTCTCCTTTGTTTAGTAAGGTGTATCTGAGAAGAGCTTTTTCTTAGGCATCTCATTCATCATTCTCATTCCCCAGAACCAGATTTTCAATAAAACCCTAGTCCACAACTATATTGCAAAGCAACATATTTTTATGCAAGTCTAAATTACTAATCTATGAACAGATATTAAACCCTTGCTAAAAGTAACACTTTTTTCATCAATGTAAAGTTTGAACATGAGCTCCATATTAAAGGAGTAACACACAAAAGAAACGTTAGAGCAAAGAAAACAGCAGCCATTTTATGTTAATGTAAGTTATCGAATTGCAGGCCAAAAATATCTAAACCAAATATTCTTGTGAAATTCATTCTAAGTATATTTTGGTATTAAAAAATAAAATAAAAACCTAGTATAAAACTTGGTGGGAATCTTAATTTTTTTTTTTTTTTTTGTCTTTTTCCTTTTTATCGGTACCAGGGATTGAACTCACGACTACCTGCTTGCAAGGCAGGCTCTTATGCCGCTGAGCTTAACCCCCACCCCCTTGGTGGGAATCTTATTCTCTATAGTAAAAGCAGTTTTCAGCATTTTTTTTTATTTTAATGATTAAGATAAAAGACACAACAACACAGGTCAGAACAGAACAATTTAAGCAACATAGTATTTCATTACAAGACAATCCGACATAAAAGTAGCTACCATAGGGTCTCTTTCCTTGAAATATTTGAGTATACCTTGATATACTCTGTAGTCGTGAGTTCGATCCCCGGTACCGATAGAAAGGAAAAAGACAAAAAAAAAAAAAAAAAAAAAAAACAAACAAACAAACAAACAAACAAAAAAAAAAACCCCAAAAACATAGAAAGACAGTGTAAAGCCATTCAAGAGAATGAAAGTATTACAGAGTATTCAAAACCAATTAACAGAAAATGAACAATGGTTACTATATTATCTCCTTGTGTATAAAAATTTTTGTTTATACTATCACATATAATAGAATCCAATAAGATACAACATGATAAAACCGAAGAAGACAGAAGAACAAAAGCTTAGTGGGACTTCAAAACAAGATAATAAATCATCACTAGCTATTATAATGTCTTGCTTTCTTCAAAGTAGTTGTTCATACTATCACAGACAATAAAATCAAACAACCCAGAATAAAACTGTTGTACACTAGCAAAAAGAGCTTCATTATATTTGTATTAAACCAAAATACTTGTAATGTGGCCTACTGTTCTATATGCATGTTTCTTTTCCTCTGGGTGACCTAATTGATATGTTAATCAATGCTCTCCTCTGTAAAGAATTGTAAAACCTAACCTAATTGATACATTAACCATTGTTGCCCTCTACAAATAATAGATGTGGTGCTAAAATAAGCTAACAAAGGTTTTAATTACTGCTAGACTACTCTATCCTCTGCTCTGCTAAGGAAAACAAAGTTCTTTCTCATTAACAGTTTTCCTGATCCAGGCCCATAACTCCTACTTTGTGAGCAGTGATGTGTACATAAGGGCAGCAAGTGTAGAGGAATGACATACAGCCTTTGCAATCTCCAACTGCACTGTGTCGCTGGGCCCAGGTTAAAATAAATCAGTGCTGCTTTTTAAAATATGTTTTTGCTCCATTTTTTGAACTCAAGTTTGGGGACTCCTTTGTGAATGACAAGAAAAACCATCCCATGGAATGAATGGAATGGAAACATTATAAGGAATTATGGAAACATTATAAGGCTTCAAAGCAATATAATGGGGGAATCATGATTACCACATACCTTATGTATTCTTACCATTTCTTACACTAGGGAAACTATTTGGTATTTATACATGTGAGTTTGATTTATTTCGTTTATGAGTAAGGTCTCAAGTTGCATCCATTTATTTATAAATACCTCAATATGATCATTCTTTATAGATGAGTACTACTCCATTGTCTAAAAATAACACAACTTTTTTATCCATTCCTCAGTTGATGGACACGTAGGTTGTTTCCAAGATCTGGATATTACAAATTGTGCTGCTATAAACATGGGTGCACATATATCACAGTGGTACGGTGTTTTCAGTTCTTCTGGGAGTATGCTTAGAAGTGGAATAGCTGGAACAAATTGGACTTCCAATCCCAGCTTTCTGAAATCTCCAGACTGACTTTCACAGTGGTTGCACCAGTCTACACTCCCAACACCTGTGCAGGAGAATTCCTTTTTCCCCACAGTCTCTCTAGCATTTGTTGTTGGTAGTTTTCTTGAACTTGGCCATTCTTTCTGGAGTGAGATGGAATCTCAGTGAGGTTTTAATTTGCATTTCTCTAACGAGTAATGATGATGAACATTTTTTCATATGTTTATTTTCCATTTGTATTTCTTCATCTGAGAATTGTGTATTCATTCGAGATGCCCATTTTTGGATTGGATCCTTGAATTTTGGGGGGGTTTAATTTTTAAAAATTGTTTATATGTTTTAGAGAGAAGTCCTTTGCCTGATGGACAGTTCACTAAGATTGTTTCCTAGTTTGTAAGTTTTCTTTTCACTATGCTAGAGATTTCTTTTGACTTACAGAAACTTTTTAATAAGACATGATTCCAGTTGTTGATTCCGGGAAGTATTTCCTATGTGATTAGATTCCTGTTCATGAATTCTCTACCTACCCTTATGTCTTCAAGGTTTTTACCCAATTTGTCTTGCAATAGATTTTGTGTTTGGTTTCTTATTTTTTAGATGCTATTGTGAAGGATGTTATTTCCATAATTTCTCTCTCAGTGAATTTGTTGTTTATGGGAATCCTATTGATTTTTGAGTGTTGACTTTGTATCCAGCTACACTGCTACATTGTTTATTACAATGTTTATTATTTGAACCAGAGCCTTCACACTACACTATATCCCAAGCTCTTTTTATTTTTTGTTTTGAGACAGGTTCTCACTAAGTCATTAAGTCACCAAGGTTGGTCTCAAACTCATGATCCTCTTGCCTAGGCCTCCCAGGCTGTTTATTAAGTCTAGTAGTCTTTTGATGAAGTTTTTGGGGTCTTCTATGTAGAGTATCATATCATCTCTAAATAATGATAATTTAACTTGTTTCTTTCCTATTTTTATTCCTTTTATTTCTCTCTCTTGTCGAATTGCTCTGTCTAATGTTTCCAAAACTATACTGAATAGGAGTTGTGATGGTGGTCATCCTTGTCTTGTTTCTGATTTTTAGAGTGAAAGATTTCAGTTTTTGTCCATTTAGTATAATGTTGGCTGTCGACTTGTCATAGATGGCTTTTATCATACTGAAGTAGATAACAGCTATTCTGAGTTTTTGTAGGGTTTTTAAAATCATAAGCAAGTGTTCGACTTTATTAAAAGCTTTTTCTGCATCTATTGAGATGATCATGTGATTTTTGTCTTTGGCTCAGTTGATGTGGTGTATTACATTTATTGACTTGTCTATGTTAATCCAATCCTACCTTCATGGGATGAATCTTGTAGTGGCAGCTCTACCATGGCTCTAAGAAGAAGCTGGGATGGGGCTCACGGTCTATGTCTCAAGTCATCTTCTGGCTGTGTTGTTGGGCAGGTGCTTTCAGATCAGGCCTCAGGACCAGACCTCACAGATCCATTCATAGTCACCATGTACACAGGCTTCTCTTCCTTGGTGTCCCCAGCTTATAGAACCAAGTTGGCAGCACTTACCCACACACCTCCACTGGCACTCGCCTTTGGGTGGGCCATGCTCCACAGGCAAGTGGGCAGGTAGCTACCTGCAAGGCTACCTGTGTTCACTCAGCTCACAGGCAAAGTGAGTTCTTCCCTACTGTGTTGCCAGTATTTTCCCCCCTTGTTCTGGAAGTCCTCGGATGATGAGGCCCAACAGGGCAGGGAAGAGGTGGTGCCTTAGCAGAGCTGACAGTTTGTCCTCAGTCCTAAGTACTTGTACACTGCACATGATGTGGAATCCAGCCCTCGCTGACCAGAAACAGGGAGCTGGGCTTCTCAGCCATGGGCTGCATGGACTTGCATTTTAGAATGGACTCAACTCTTGGGGTTTCTTTCCCAGGAGCCAAATTATCCCCAAGGTGGAAGGGACTCACAAGTGGTTCGTGTCCTCTGAAGAGTCCCGTTTCCCATTCCTGTGTGGGTTGGAAATATTTCTTATTCTTCATTTTTCATCTTTTTAATGTATATTAGGGTATTAATATTATTACTCTTTTTGGTTCTGGGGATTGAACCCAGAGCCTTCACACTACACTATATCCCGAGCTCTTTTTATTTTTTGTTTTGAGACAGGTTCTCACTAAGTCATTAAGTCACCAAGGTTGGTCTCAAACTCATGATCCTCTTGCCTCAGCCTCCCAGGCTGGGCCACCTGGGCCACCATAGGCCACCATAGGCATGGGCTGCAGCACCTCGATAAAGCTTCTTATTCCAAAAAAAAAAAAAAAAAAAAAAAAAAAAAAAAAAAAAAACACAGTGTGTGCCCAGAATAGCCTTCATATAGACAGTGTCTGTGGTAATACAACACAAGTGAGAACCAAAGTCCCGGTGTGTGCTTGTGGTGACTTGGTACTGATAAGTCCTTTCTGCCACCTGCAACCACCTGCACCCCTGCCCCTCCTCAGGGAGGTGGGTTTTTCTTTTCAGTCCCATTTCTGCTTATGCATGTACATGGCTGATAAAATATTCCTCTCCCCTCCCCCCGTTCCCATGGGACCTGCCCTCTTATGGGGAAAGAGTTTGTATGGCAACAACCACAGCAGACTGTGTGTCACCTAGAAACCATGGGTGTCTCCTTCTCTCTTCCTCTCTCTTTCTTTCTCTCTTGGCTTTAATAACATCCTTGTTGGAGAGAGAAAAGGTTTGGGCTTTCTCCTGGGCCCTGCTGAGTTCACTCACGGACTCCAGAGGGAAGATGGCACGTAGGGTTGTGCTGTCCTCTCCCAGGCCTAACAGTCCTACAAAAAGGTGGCTTCTGCCTCAGAGAGTGGAACCTGCAGTGGCCCAGCCAGTCCCCAATGGAGGCGGCAGGGGAGGCTGCTGGGTAGTGGCCTGGCTGGGTGGGCAGTGTGTACCTGTCTCCTGCATCAAGGATAAGCTCTGGAGCCACATATTCTGCACAGGAAGCTGTGAAGGGTTGGTTAGGGCTTCTTCCCTGAGCTTATTTATAACCATCTTTGCAGAGGAGCAGCTGTGTTTTTCGCCAGGTACCCTGGAGCAGGATGGTTTCAGCCTGGCACACTGCCAATGAGAGGAGTTATCCTTTCTGCAGCCCTGGGACCTGCGAGGCAGGGCACAGAGTAGCAGAATGCAAACTCTGTTCATGAAAGAGCATCAGGTAGGATACAGAGCCAGGCATGGTAGGTGTCATCCCAGTACTCTGGGAGAATGAGGTAAGAGGATCACAGTTTGTGCCCAACCTGGGTAACTTAATGATTACAAGCCCCTGTCTCAAAATGCAAAATAAGAAAAGAACTGGGAATGTAGCTCAATGAGAAGACCTTGGATTCAACTCCTACTACTGCAACACAACAAATCAAAACAAAAATCACGCAGTCTCAGGATGATGACAGTGAATGACTTCTGGACGTCAGAGAAGGTGGCACTGGACATAAGTACCTTCACAGGAGGTGACTCTTAGAAGGACAGCATCTAGGTGGCAGCAGCCAGTGTGAGGACAGCTAACCTTGGTGGCCTCCCCACATCCTTTAAGTTCCCTCCAGCTTGGATAGAGCAGCACAGCTTTGAGGCTGAGCCCATTTCAGACAAAGCTGCCCATGGGCAACCTGGTCCCTCTGTGCCACTACCCCATCAGCTCTGACTGGCAAGTTTGGGTTCAGATGTGAAGAAACCCATAGGGTCCCAACATATGACAGCCATGTTGAGGGCAAGGTCCAGTTCTGTACAGAATGCCATCTGTCATCAACTTTGTGTTCCCAAGATGGTGGAAAGCAGGAAAAACTAGTGGCAAAATGTGAGCTCTTTACTTACTCATTTATGTTTTGCCATGCTTTGGTATTCCAGTTTTTCTTTTGCACAATTATGTGTGTGCATGTGGGGTGCATTGCCTGAAAACCATGGGCAGAGGCACTCAGGAGATGGAGGCACTCAGGAGGCTGAGGCAGGAGGATTGCCAAGTTTAAGACCAACCTGTTCAACTTATTCAGATCCTGTTTTTATAAAAAAATGCAAAGGACTGGTATTAAGCTCAGTGTTAGAGTGCTTGGCTGGTGTGTGTGAGGTCCTGGGCTCAATTTCCAGGACCAAGAGAAAGAGGGAAGAGTTTGAGGACTGCATGTTTCCAGGTCTCCTAGACCACTATGAGATGTAAGGAGTATACAGGGGAGGCATTTGGGTATATTGAGGCATCTAGCAAGGGTGTGGCCTGCCCTGAAACCACAGAGTGATAGATCAGTTGAACCCAACAACCAGAAGATACACTGCAAGGTCAACATGATCGGTTGTAATTAAAGGAGGCAGAAGTGGCACTTTACCCAGCCGATCAGAGCAAGGTGCACAAGGCAGGGACTGAGCAGGGATTTTATTGACAGTTAAGGTGGGAGTAGGTGCTGTTTTGGTCATGGTCTGAGAGCTGTGGGTGGATCTTGTACTTTCTATGTAATGTGCCTTTCTCTGGAGGAGGTTGGCAAAGGGGCTTTCTGTTACACAGGGCATTTACTTTTCTTATGGTTAGGCTCTTGTAACATGGCAATGGATCTTTTGTCCCTATGTTTGGGATTTTTCAGTGTTAGGGGGTGCTGGTCAATGTTGGCCAGCTCTATCAATATTTAAATGTATGAGGATGACTGTGATCTAATAAAACTTTATATATAAAAGCAGGAATCTGGCAGTATTTAGTCCATAGGCTGCATTTTGTAGACCCATGGCATGAGATGTAAGAGAAGCATCACAAATTTTACAGATGACCTCTTGGAAGTCTGATTACTACACTGTTCACTGTGAATGGTGGAGTGCCTCGTGCAACATAGGTGTGGAATGTCTCACTTATTCTCAAGCTTCCTCCTCTTGTTTCCCATTCTAGAAATATACCATTACCCTCTCAATCCAAATGCATCACCAAAGGAGTGCTGTCCTCAGATTGACAGTTGTCTTCTTTGTGATGGTAGGCAAGCAGAGTATGGCTGAACTTCTTTCACCTTCATATTTTCAGGTAGGACTGATCAAGGTGGGGGTGGTGTTTGCACAAAGAGAGCTAGCCCAGCAAGTTCAGAAAATAAGTATTTTTCCTTTCAGTAAAAAATTTTAAAAATGCTTAAGACAACAATGCTGTGTTTGCACTGTATTTAGTATGTTGAAAACTTACAATCATATATCATAACATACCAAACCATATAACCATAGCATCATTGTCTCACACTATCCTTGCAACTAGCATACTAGTGTTAGTTCTCAAATCTAAAACTTTGTATATTAATTAGTCTTAACCTCATTGAACAACTCAGACACAGAAAGTCTGTGTTACATAGTCAACTCAGAGATTATGCATTATCAAATAGTCTGCTGTACTCAGTTCATAGAAGGTTTACTGTGAACAAAAGTAAATAGGAACTTCCAGGTGCATTTGTATCATGCAGCATTTCCTGATATCTGTTCTGCTGCTGAACAGGAATTTAGATGGGAACTCTGTTTTTATTAGTGTGAACTTCAAATAAGTAATGTAATAAGCACAATCCGCTGTTTATATCCTTGGATTCTGTTCCAAAAGATTCAGTCAATTATAGGCTGAAAATATTGGGAATAAAAATGCATCTATACTGCATACAAACTGATTTTTTGTCTTGGCATTATTCTCCAATCAATGCAGTATAACAGCTATTCACATCCATTTACATTGTGTTGGTATTAAAATATATGGGAGGATGAACATATATTATATAAAGATGTTGTACAATTTTGTAACGAACATGAGCCTTCACAGATTTTGGTATTTTCAAGGGGAGAAGGGATGTAGGGAGCGGCATGTCTCACTGCTGCCATCTTATCTCGCCCTCCTGTGGGCCTCTGCTGCATTTGCCTACATTTCCCATGATCCTCATGTATGCCTACAATACCCATAATCCTCTCCTGCTTATATCATATATCCGGATGTGACCATGATCTATCAGATAACACTCCGTGCCCTCTTCCTGCCCCATTGGCCTGCCTCCACCCTATATAAGTTGTAGCCATTTTAAGAATAAACGAGTCTTGAATGGAATCCCGCTTTGTCTCCATCTCTCTTTTCTCTTGCTCATCCCCCCCATCCCTGTCCCCTCTCCAGGCGAGGACCACAGCCTTGATCCACAGGCGGGTCAAGTGGCGCCCACATCGGGGCTCGACCTGGCACGAGGGATAACTCCCGTGAACGCACGGGAGTAAAGCGCTGGACAGCGTGACTGATTCAAGGGCTTCATCCCTGTGATCCGTGCAGATGACCACCTTACGTCTCACGTGAGTCACGGGAGGTGAATGGATCTTATCTCTCTACTGGCATGGGGCAAGCACTTAGTGAACACGAATTGTTCATCAATGGCCTCAGGGAAGCACTCAAGATTAGAGGGATCAAGGTTAAGACTAAAGACTTGCTACAGTACTTTCAGTTTATACATTCAGTGTGTCCATGGTTTCCTCTAAAGGGCACCATTGATTCAAATAGGTGGAAAAGAGTGGGAGATGCTCTCAAAGACTACTATGGGGTTTTTGGCCCGGAAAAGGTTCCGGTAACTGCTTTTTCATAT